GATCTGGCCACTTTCTAGCAAGGTCGCCTTGAATGAGGCCCTCTCTCTGCCTCCATCTCCTCCTCTGTAAACCAGTGATGACAAAATCATCTCATAGGGCTGTCTGTAGTGAAGCTTCGTGGAGTTTTCTCCTACATAGCATTTAGCACAGGACCTGGTACACATAAAAACCTCAGTAAATACTAACTATTGCTACTTGAAATAAACAGGAGAGCGTAAAAGGGAGCTGAGCTGCTGAGCTGTATGCAGAAGTCATGTTAGATGATTTGGGATTTTGTAGGGAAGAAAAGGTAAGTGAGAGAACAGGTTATTTATTAGAACTCTGAATAAAGCAAAGAGGAAAAGAAAGCCTATCTGCAGCCTGTGGTTGGAGTGGCACTCATGAAACAGACATCACTAATTGTAGTGTGCACAGTGAAAGAGCGTGGAACATGGAGTGGAAGCGTGTATAAGGGGGCAAAAGGTGAAGCTGCTCCAAAGGAAATAACACCTCCTTTCACTTGGTGCAAGATGAGCTAATGCAAGGATATCAACCGGGTTTCAGATTTCGCATACCGGCCTTTTCGAATGCAGAGACCCTCAGCCCCAGAGGAGAGGCAGAGGCCTGGCTTCATTTCCTTCAGGGCCCCGACCTCCACAGAGACACTGTAGCAGCCATCCTTGTCAATGGAAGGCCTCGGAGGTCCCAGTTGGCTGTGAGAGTCCTTGGGCATCAAACTCAGACTATTTTGAGGAGAGCACACACTTCGGTAATGATGAAGCACAAGTGGGCCTACCCTGAAGGCCCCCCAGAAATTACAATTTTCAAATGGAGTTGCGTGAGCCTCCAAAGACCTAGAGAGCAGGTTCAGTCAGGGCACCCAGATGGTGGAATACTAAACAGCCACAAAAAAGCATGAATCTGATCTCCACATTTTGACATAGAAAGATGCCCAAATATGTGGTTTACAGACAAAAGCAAGGAGCGAGATTCTCTGTGGGATCCAGGTCAGAGAGAACCTTTACCCTCCTCCTCTTCTTTACTCTACGCATGCAGAGAGGAGTCCTACAGCAAACACCTCCCATCCCTGTCTACACCCTTGACTCATCCCTGACTCATGCCTCCCCAGGACAGCTGGCCGTCCCCTGCGCCATGTTCCCTAAAGAGCAAGAAAGTGGAGAAAGAATCCAAGGCTTCCTAGATCTTGAGCTGCCTGCTTCTAGATGTGATAGGTGCTCAACCCATCTCTCCAGCTATCTCTCAGCCCTTTTCCTGGGCTTCATGTCCCCAGGTTAGAAACCTGTAGGATGGGGGCAAAGGAGAGGTAAGCAGACCCACCCTTCTCTCTCTCTGTCTAGCTCCTCTTCCTACATTAGGGAGTAGGGATCAGGCCAGCCCTGCCCTGCTATGAGCCTGGCTATCTCCAATTTGAGGTGTCATTATGGCCTTACCCTCCACCAACTGCTCCAGTCCAACCATTACCAGAAAGCTGTGAAAAATATAAAAGTTTAAAGATAAGAGTATGCTCCTGTATAATTGAATGCAGGCTAGCCCGGGGACTTGTTTACAACCAGTAGAATATGACAAGAGTGATGGGATGTCCCTTTGTGATTAGGTGATATCAGACAGTAATTTCCAGATTGGAAGACTCTCTCTTGCTGGCTCTGATAAAGCCAGCTGCCATGGACAAGCCCACACAGTAAGGAACAGAGGGCAGCCTCTGGCCAATAGCCAGTAAGGATCTGAGCCCTCCTCAGTCCCAGGGCTCACAAGGACTGCCAACAACCACAGGCACTTGGAAATGGGTCCATCCTCAGTCCAGTCTCAGGGAGCCCCCCAAGGCACCTTCCTTACAGGCTTGCAAGATCCTGAGCAAATGGCCCAGCAAGCTATACCTATCTGGACTCCTGACCTGCAGAACTGGCAAAATAATAAATGCGTGTTTCCTTAAGTCCCAAAGTTTATGGTATTAATTTGTTATGCAGCAATAGGCAACAGAAATAAGAAGCAACATAAAATGAAAGGCTCTATAGTCTGGTGGTTAAGGGCCCAGGCAATGGAGCCCAATTGGCTGCCTTCAAATCCTGCTCCCCACCCCTTCTACTTGACATCTCTAATACTAAATTTCCTCATCTTTAGCACAAGGGTAGGATTCGATGCCCACTCCCATCCTTACACTCAGCCTTGTAGTAAGGATCCTAAGAGTTAACGCAGGTGAAATGCTTGAATCAATGCGTGTCCCGTCACAGCCCAATGGAATATTGGTGCTTGCTGGTTTGTGCCCGCTCATGCTCCTTGCTCTTGCCTCCAGAATACTTGGGCAATCATCTCTTAGGAATATTGTGGAAATTTCCACATTCAAAGATAAAACCTTTCTATTTTTTATAATAAGCATTCATAAATTTATATTTGGAAAAAGCAACAAAATTCTTTTTAAAATTCTCATTAGCTTTCTGATGAGCCCTTCTGAGGATGGGATCTCTCTCAGGTTGCTATAAATGACAAATATCTGTGCAAACCAGCTTAAACAAAATGGGGAAGGAGTTATAGAAGGGACTCTGGGTGTGGCACAGAATAGGAGGCTAGTAAATGTCTAGGAGCCTTGCAGGAGGCTGCGCTGGGGCCAGTTAGTATGGCTGATACAGCAGGCAAGGCCTCAGCCTCTCTTGGCCACGTGATCTCTCCCTGCACCTTTTCTTTTGGCTTCTCTCAGTTCAGAGTGAGAGGTGGAGATGACCTATGTTGTTTCTATGACCAGATATCCAACAAAACTGATTAGCTACTCCTTGTCCCAATCTCAAATTCCCTCAGAAGAGAATCTGATTGGTCAGATGAACCCTCATGGTCCTATCAGCCATGATGTGAGAGGGAAGTAGGGTCCCCTAATATAAACTGGATAGTTAATACTATACCAGGTAGTGGCAGGACGAGTTGCAAAGAGGAGGGGAAATGAAATCCCCAAAGGGTGTCTGTATCTAGTCCATTCCTTCTTTTTGCTAAGGAACAGCAAAGGAATTGAGAGCAATGCCCAAGAAGTTTCCAGAGACTTCTGGACAAGAGACGGTGTTTGCCATGAATATTGGAAACCACTAGAAATATCTCATTTGGAAATGGATTTAACAAGTCTTTTTAATTGGTTGGATTCATCCTTTTCTCCTTGATACTCTAATCTGTATGAAGTTGTTGCTATCCTATTGGGCATAGAATATCAAAAGTAAAAGTAGGTGGCTCTGCCCAGTTGATACTCAGCCTCAGTGCCGCAAGTTCAACAATGTTTGTGGGACCATGGGAATTGGTATTTACTATGCCAGTTCGTGGGCCAGCGTGCACATTATCCATAACTTAACTTAAAGGAAAATGTGTCCCTCTTGCTTTATTCTCATAAAAGTAACAATTTTAAACAAAGTATGGCCCAGGTCCAAGGCAAACTCTGCATCTCATGCACTGATGCTAAAGATAAAAAAAAAACCCAAAAAAACCATGCAACTTGAAATTATACCTCACTTAGTAGAAACATTATCTGCAATTAGCATAATTATCCAATGAACATTCAAAGGGGAAAAACTAATTACTAGGATCAGAAGTTCTCTGGGTTGGAAGGAAACTCATAGGTCAGTGTAAATACCTGCCCTCTCCCTTCACCCTCCCCAACCTCCAATAGGTATAGGAATTCCCTTTACCATGTCCCTATCCCCTACCAGGTAGACATTGATTCTGCTTCCCACTACCATCAAAACAGCACCTTCCATTTCTGGGTAACTCTAGCCATCAGGAAATCTTGACTCAAGTAGGACTAAAAGTTGACTTCCTTATAAAGTCTACCAGTTGGCACAACATCTGCCCAAACTTTGTGTCTGGAGCCTCATAAACAAATCCTTTTCTGCATACCAAGCAGAAATATCTTCTTACATTTGCAAAGTAAGCTATGCCCAGTGGCAGATATACTTGGTTGCCCACCAGGCTGCCATTTCTCACACCTCCTCTTTCTGAGCTAAGAAAATGCCAGTTTTGTTTCCTTATAAGATGGGCAGAAATACACCTAAAGGGGCGCCTGTGTGGCTCAGTGGTTGAGTATCTGCCTTTGGCTTAGGTTGTGATCCCAGGATCCTAGGATCAAGTCCCACATCAAGATCCCCACAGGGAGCCTGCTTCTCCCTCTGCCTATGTCTCTGCCTCTCTCTGTGTGTCTCTCATGAATAAATAAATAATATCTTTTTTTTAAAAAAGGAAAGAAATACACCCAAGAAGGAAAGAAAGACATCCTTTCCCCAGCCCCAGAGATTAAGTTTAGTCAGTCTTTGAAACTGAAGGGCCAAAGGGATGGGCATCTGACACAGCCTGCCTACAGATATAAGGGAAGCCCACTGAGAAACTTTTGAAAAAGTTTTTGGTCCCTAATGGAAGGGTAATATGTTTGAAAGAGCTCAGGGACTGTGCCTCTTCCCACTCCTCCCTCGAATGCGTTTGTGTGAAGTGTGATGCTTGGATCTCTGGCAACCATCTTGTTCCATGAAGTGACAAACTTCAGATCAAGAAGCCAACATGCTGAAAATGCAGAACATAAATCTAGAAGGAGCCCAGGCCTTAGAAGATACTGGTAAGTCACTGCTGCTTCCCCTGGAGTGGCCTACCTCCAGACATCTTGTTCTATTAGATGATCACGTTTTTATCACATAACCACTATGAGTTGAGCTTTCTATAAGTTGTAATAAAAGCATGTTTTAACCAATAACAGCTCACCAGAGCTGTAGTTTCCATATGCCTAGATTTATATGACAGTTCAAGCCCCAACCTCAGCCCCATCATCCTAAACTGTCCCCTCAATACAATCCCTGTTACTCAAGTGTGGTAAAGAATACTTACATGGGATCCCCCCCCCCAGTGAAAGCCACCCAAGACAGAGCTGTGTTGTCTCCATTCTCACACCACAACTTCACTTCCTTAGCAGCCACCTCATCTTGAGGTTGCCATTGGCTACAAAGCATGACTATTTCCCAGATGCCTAGGCTGCGTCCCTTACCTGCCATTCTCTCTGCAAGATGTCATTCAGACGCAAGTGCTGAACTTTGTGTTGGTCTCTTCACAGCTGAAAAATATTGCTTTGGCTCATTATTCTCTCATCCAGTCTATTAGCTCTACTCACAACCCCATGGCAGCCTGGAAATCTGATCAGCATGCCATCAATGTACTCACCCACTCAGCTCTGAAAAAAAAAAGAAAACAACACTGAATAAGATAGCAAGTAGAGACTAAATGCAAACACAATACTAGCAGTTGGTCTGACAATAACAGACCTACCAGTGTCTCCAAAAATACACCAACTTGATATCCATTTGGACTGAACCTTTTCTGGTATTAATACCAGCAGGAGAAGAAGAGGAGGTTCATCCCACAAGCATTAACAGTGCTGAGAAGGGAATAGTAAAGGGTGCTTGACATACCCCATGGGTCATTTTTTTTTAAGATTTTTATTTATTTATTCTTGAGAAAGAGAGAGAGAGAGAGAGAGAGAGAGAGAGTCAGAGACACAGGCAGAGGGAGAAGCAGGCTCCATCCTGGGAGCCTGACGTGGGACTCGATCCTGGGTCTCCAGGATCACGCCCCAGGCCAAGGGCAGGCACTAAACCGCTGAGCCACCCAGGCTGCCCTCCCATGGGTCATTATTATGGCAGCCATCAGCCTCCCCATTCTGGGTGCCCTATAATTGCAGCTTGTTAGGTTATGTGCAACAAAACATAAGTTGAAAGGAAGTCCTAGAGATTTAAGGGCTTTGTTCCAAAAAGACTGCATTTTATAGAATGCAGCTATTTGTTCCATAACAGTAGAACATTGTCATGATTTATAAAGCAAAGCAAAGATATATAGTCTGCCACCCTAATAATATATGTTTTCATTCTAGACATAATAAGCAGATCCAAATAAGGAGAACTCCTAGATAAAATCAGATACCAAGAATGTGAGAGATAAAGAAAGAAAGAAAAAAATGGGAAAAGGAAAATAAATTCTAGAAAGGTAACAAGAATACCTGCTTTTGCACTTCCTAAACTTTACCCTTCAATCCTATTGATCACATTCAGGTTCATCTCCAACTCTCATCATCATTCCACAATATAGCCTCTAGTACCATTACCACCACTGCCCCCACCATTACTGCTGCCACTACCAGCACCACTACCACCACAACCATTACTGAGGCTGCTACCAACACCACCACCACACCATCATTACTGCTGCCACTACCAGCAACACCATCACCAACTTCATCACTCCACAATTATCAACACCACTAACACCATTGTTGCCACTACCATCATCAATACTGTCACTTCACCTACCACCATCTGCATGAACAACATCCATGATCTTCCCTGAGCCATCGCCCCATGTTCTCTAGAGGACAAGAAGACCTGGGCTATAGTCCTGGTTCTGCTTATTAATTGAACTGATGACCTTGAGCAAGTCAATTTACTCCTTTGCATCTCAGATCAATAAATGCATTTTGAATGTAAGAAAAAATATCATATGGGACTATTTTGTGTCTGTCCTTCTTAAAGTCAATACAAATACAATATAAATTATACTAATAAGCTCATACTTTTCTGGTACTTAGGGTTTGCAAATTAAGTTCCTATATGTGATATCATTAAATACAGCCCAGAAAAAAACTGTGAGTTACTATTCCCCTCAGTATCTTTTATGTCAGGGTTGGCTTTTATTTTTTTGTTTTGTTTTGATCCAGGATCTAATCAATATGGCAGTTATTTATCTGCCTCTCTAGTCTGGAATAGTTCCTCATCTTTGTTTTGCATTGCTTTTCATGACATCAATATTTTAAAAGAATTCAAGCTAGTTGTTTACGTAATACCCCTCAATTTGTATTTGCCTGCGTTATTCCTCATAATTAGATTTAGGTGAAACTTTTTGGCAAGAGTATAGCATGATAGGTGCTGTGTTTTTCTCAGTGCATGACATTAGGAGGCACCAGCCCTCTTGCTCCACCACGTCTGATTACATGGTTAACATGGTAACGATGATTTCTCCATCATAAAGCTACTTTTTTCTGTTTGTACTGAGTAAATAATCTGTGAGACATATGAAAATCACTTTTAAATATGAAGGGCTTGAGAAATCTGTGAGAAGTATAAAACCTTTTTCAATATCAAGAGTTCAAGGAATTTTAAATGTTATAGAAGCAAATCAACATAAGTACTATCTCCCATCACTTTTCCCCCCCAGGGAATAGAGACTCTAGCTGAGCTGGGCCCCGTTCCCCATGCCTCCTTATTCCTCCAGGATGTGAATCCTTAACCAGGAACTGTGAAGCCCCCTGAGACTGTAGACAGGAAACAGTGAGCACCCATAGCTTTTAGTGTGTTCTCAAAGTGGTCCCTGTCTTAAAACATTAAGGATCACTCTTATGTGCTAACATTGTTAATGAAGACCTAGAAGTCACGGAGGAAAATCGGACTGAGGGAAAGAACGGAGTTTTATTTTTGACTGACTGATGTGAGGTTATAGAAGGTCATCTAGGAAGACTTGTCTCAAAGATACTTAGAAATATTCATTTCCTTCATGGCACTTGATATATTGAAATCACTTGGTTCGTTTAATGTCTGTCTTTCTTCCTTAGAAAGAGGTCCCTTGAAGGCAAGAGGTCTGTTTATGAATGTTTACTTCAGCCCTGCATCACCAGGACTGGGCACACAGGAGGTTCTCAACTAATTTTACTGAATTAAAAAAAAGAACAGACAGATGCACCAATGATAATGGTTGGAAGAGAGAAAATGGAAAAGCTGAGAGCAGAAAAGGGAACATTTTTTAAGTCTAAAAAACCTTGGTTGAAGGAGCACATGAATGAATTCATATAGGCACGATTTTTTTTCCACACAAAAAGAAAATGGAATCATAGTTACATGAATCCATTTTGACATTATATGCAATACTGAATTCTCCTGTTAACTTTTGATACCACCTGAGCCTAAAATCAAAATGAATTTACATTATTCTTAGGTAGAACCAGAAATTTACATTTTAAAATGCTGATACAATAGAGTGTAGCCCAGGGCATGACAAAGCAGATGGTTTGGTAAATCAACTGCCATGACTAAGGACATTTCCAGCATTAGGGATACAGGTGTGTGAGGCCAGGTGGTAAGGTACTCACCCAGAGAACATTCCCAAATCCAGCAGCTCCTCTCTGGCTAGACCCTTTCCTGCACCAGCAGGCTGCTTCCCCTGCCCTCATTCTCTTGCTGACAAAATGAGGAAGCTGGACTTGGTGGGAAGAGGACCAGCTCGGGGTCTGAGCACTTGAGGCCAGGTGCCCATTCTGCCCCAAGCCAACTGACCACCCCTGGACAAGCCACTGCTTTGTCCTCAGTGTCCCACTCCACTAACTGAGGGCTAACAATATCTCTGACTTCCCATCCAGCACCAAAGTTAACTGCCTCCATGAAAGACCAAGTAAGCTGCCAAGCACCCCTCCTCTCCTTCCTCCTCTAGGGATTAATGCCAAGGTCTAACCCAATGGACTTAGTCAGGAAGCACTTGACTGCTTGAATCATAGAAGCCAAGTGAAAAAGCCAGATTTTGCTTCAAGCGGTGACCTTCTTTATTGAAGCCCCAAAACAGACTCATAAGGGAAAAAAAAAATCCTTCTAAGTAAGGCTGGTGAAGGCTGCAGTGCCTCCCACACCAGACACAATGACTTCACAAAGCCTTTACCCCAAGTACCAATTCTACATGAAGTTGAATGTCAGCGAGTGCAGGTTCCTGGGAGACTCGAGTCACCGTGGACTGTGGGAGAAAGGAAGTCACCCTGCCTCCCCAGCTCCCAGCAAAGTGGGATTGAGTTTGTGGGGAGAAACCAAGACCAACAAGAATTCAGTGTCTAAGTCTGAGGAAATGAGAATCTCCTTAGAAATACTTTCATCCTTCCTTCTTTTCTCTCTACTAACCTGACTTCCTACCAGTTTTTCCCAGTAATTTGGGAAGACTAAAAATTCAATCCTTATTCATCATTCATTGAATATTTAAGGACACTCTTCTGAGCACTCTGCATGTATGAGACTTCTATAATACAGGGTAGGTAGGTATGGTCACTACCCAATTTGTGTCACAGGAAACTGAGGCCCAGCACAACCAGGGAGTCAATAGTCTGTACTCCACAAACACAGTGGTCAACAGCCCTGACTAGTGCCTACCCTTAAGGAACTGATTTTTCTAGAATGGGGACCCAGGAAATTAGAAAAAAGAACAAACAAGATACTTTCAGGAACAAATAACATCAGTGGAGAAGTCAAATGGAGAAGACTAGTCCATCTTGTCCAAGGTCACATAATGGGTAGCAGGGCCAGAATCTGGGTTGTTCTTCTCAAAGTGGCTCATCTGTCATTTCCAACCTGGCTCCTTTGGGGGAACTGACATGAATTATTACACATAAGATAACACAGAAAAGAAGAATTTCAAAAAACCCTCTTTTTAAAAACTTTCAGCAAGTATATAATAATTGTATGAATGAGAATTCTCTTAACCTACATATTTGCCTAAACTCTGTACTCTTTTTTTTCTTTTCTAATTTTTATTTAAGTTCTAGTTAGTTAACATACAGTGCAATACTGGTTTCAGGAGTAGAATTCAGTGATTTATCACTTACGTACAACACCCAGTGCTTATCAAATAGACAGCCCTCCTTAATGCCCATCCCCCATCCAGCCCATCGCCCCCACCTCCCTCTACCACCTTTCAGAAACTCTGTACTTTCTTAAGATGCAGACTGAGGGGTGGGATGTCTGGTTCAAAGTTTATGTAAACAAACAAACAAACAAACAACACAACACAACAACTTATCCAAAATAAGTTACTGTTTAAATTATTCCCACAAAGATTGTACCTACACGAACTCCTGCCATTGATACGAATTTTTGAGAGTTTGGTGGGAGAAAAATGGCATCTTGTTGTTGCCTTCCTTTGTATCTCTTTAATTATTAATAGAGTTTTTAAATCCTTATTTTAAATAATTTTTCTATGGCTTTAAGAGAGAACTTGTCAACTCAGTGAATAGGATATTCATAAAAGGGATAAGCATTGCATATTTCTAACTTAATTCCTACACCATTAAATGAGCTCTGTACAATGTTTCTGGAAATGGGCTTTTGTCTGAGAGACAG